AAGTCAGTGTTGGGTTCTACGGCTCCTAATCGGTGTGTGGTAACAGAACTGAGACGTGGGAGCTGACAGACCTACCGGGAGGCAGCTCCTATCCTAAAGCTTCCACTGTGTGAACTGGAGGTTACTTATTTGGTAAATGGAGATATCAGTACCACCTACTGGGAGGCCAGGGAGGATTGAAGAAATAATTGCCCTGCTTAATACCTGCTGTCAACTAAATGCTTCTCTTTAAGTTGATTCCTTTTTCTCAATAAGGTTGATAAAGGAAACTACTTTAGCTTCATCCTAGGAAGCAGATCTATTTTTTCAACACATAAATTTTCAACAAATTTATGTTAAAATAAATATATAGGTAATAAAATTAGAAAACAAAAATGTCTTCCATGTACATTTGGCAACACCAGTCCATGGGGTCAAATCCAGAACCTGTGCCTGCCCAGGGCCCCTCTTCTCTCTCTCTCTTCTGCCTCTTCCATGTCCACTGTCACCCCTCATCTGTCCTCTCCAGAAGACCCCCAGCTGGTGGGGTTTTCACCTCAGGTGACACCATTTTCCTAATAGAGATCTGAATTTGGAAAAATATATTTCACTATCTCTGAGGTTACATGCCCTTTTTATTTCTGGTCATTCCAGGAAAAGAAAAACAAAAACTTTGCAGAGACCAAGTTTTGCTTTGTTTATTAAAATAAGACTGAGCTCTGAGCCCCTGGATTTAGGCAATAGGAACCTGTTTCTTTTTTATTTTATTCAGCTCCCCAACTAAAGACAGATGGAATTTGCTCTCACATTTATGTTCTCCACCACCCCAAAGCACACAGGTTGTTCAGTTGCTGATCTCAAATTAAACAATGTTAGAACTGCGAATACTTCATGTACCTGACAGCTAACATGATTTCCGGAGATCTAAATGCCAGAAGGGATCCCTAGAGACAATGTGAACTCTTGCCATCATGTCTCTGTGCTCAGTAGAGCTGTCTGAACCACACAGGGACATTTCTGGCCAAACTGACTTACAAACACAAAATAGTGTTGCAGATCATCAAAGTACAGGTCTATTAAAGCAAACATCACTAATAATTCTAATCCAAGGGCCAGTGTTAGAGATCTCTTAGCAGGGAGCTTTTAAATGCCACTGGAGAAGGCCAGCACCTTCCCCTCCCCCAGGCTAGGCAGTCCTGGCTCTTCCAGTCCCATTTCTCCTTTACATGAAAAATAACCCTGTTGTTTTTGTTGACTGAAAAGTAATTCAAATGCATTTTTTAAAATTCTGCTGATATAAAAGTGTATAAGAAATGAGAAGTCCCCTCACCCGAGGCACCCTAATGCAGGTGTTCCTTGAAGGTGTTTCCCCCACACCCAACCTCAGGTGAACATTACTAATTCCAGTCTCAAACTGGGCCAGACTGGCCAGAGCTGGACAACTCTAAGCGGCTTCCCTCTCACCAGAATTCGAGGCCACAGCATGGAGGGCAAGGAAGCCACTTGGGAATTCCGGCAGGGCCTCTCATTACATACTCCTTGGTCCCTAAAAAAAGAGAACTGACATATTTCAATAGATTTGGTTGTCAAGGTAAATTCAACTAAGGGGTTTTTGTCCCAGACTTGGCTTCCGGGAGAGGTTAGGGAAACCCAAATCCCTGTCAACATCCTGGTCACTGTCCAGAGACCTATTTCTCCCCAAGGTTTAGAGTTTAAGTGACTGCTTCAAATTCTGTCAACTTTAGCAACCATTTCACCATGATTCATGGATCGAAAACAATGAAGTCCATGAAAAATCTTGTTTTCTGATCCTGGATTCCCTATGTTCTGGACCCTCCAGCTTTTTGAAGCCCAGGCTTCCCTCTCATCTCCACCAGGACAATACTTGATACATTGCAACTTCAGATGCCTGTGGACCAGGCAAGTGGCAGAAACTAGCAGGCCAGGTGGCAAACTGGTGGGTGTCGGCTCAAGGGGGGCTTGCTTGTGGGGCTGAGGACCTAGTGTTGCCAGGTGATGGGCAAGAGAAACCAGAAATCTGGACTTATGTGAAATTTTCTGGTTTTTGAATTTGCCAATTAATTCACATTTAAAAATGTACAGGGCGGCTCAAAGGTGTCCGCGGGAAGTCAGTTTGCTACCTCCTGTTCCCTGGGTAGGCTGTCCTGCAGAGGCCTTTGCACAGGGCTGGCTCGGCTCCCCGTTTCAGTACTCGCCCCACAAGCCGGGGCCTGTTTCCATCCAGGAGTGCCAGGAAACATGGTGCAGCCTTGACTCCGATAACACAGAGTCCCCGGGCCACACCCACTGTGGATGGTGTGTGCTCTCATTTTGTTAGCACTGGCGAAGACCGGCCAGAGGGCATTGTGCTTGTGTAACCCCCTGAAGAGGCAGCTTTTCCTATGCTGGTCAGTCCCGAGCTGCTCTTTCATAGACAAGAACTCTGTCCCCAGCCCTGCAGCCTGCGGGTGCCTGTCGCGGGCCCCATCCCCGTGAACATCTGTGTCTGTGTCTCTCTCCAGCTCTGAGAACTGCAAGCCGGGGAGCAGCTTCACCTACCATTCTGCTGGCCTGTGGCTTTGGTGTTATTTCCCCATTCTTGTAATTATTGGCTCATATGCAAGGAGCTTATAAAGGAACACACTGGTTAGCAAGACCAGAAACTGTTCTTGCAAGATCCACTGCAAATGGTATCATCGATAAAAGGACCCTTTCTCCAATGTGTGCACTTTGCTAAGTGGTGAAAATGTCTCAGTAGACAGTGGACTTCCTATTGCCTTATTGCTTCAGATTATAGACCAGCCTGTCTCAATGATCACCTAGGATGTGGTTCAGGGCCTGCTGCTAACTGGAGCTGGGGAGGGGCAGGTACAATGAAGGAGACAAATGTCAGTGTGTAGTGATTCTCATCCCCTGGAAAGCTTTTCAGAACTCAGGGGCCCAGGAATCCATACTCTGAGAGGTAGTTCTAATTTGACCCCCTTGCTGGGTGATCAGATAATTAAACAGGAGGCCTTTACCCTCAGGCCCAGGCAGAGCCATTTTACTACAGCCTCACAAATGGGGAAGGTCTTTTTCAGTTTTTAGGAAATGATCTAAAGCCGACTGTTCTAAAGCAAGCAAATTTAGTAAGGGACGAAGCATAAAACAGGAACACAAAGAAGAAAGATAAAGTCATCATCATCACAGACTTACCGCTACCTATCAACACGGCCTTCATATGACCGCGACCTCCTGAGTCTCCTCTGTCCGCTCATTTCAGGGCTGGCCGACCCACTATCCTCCACTACTAGACAGGCTTCCCCAAATGCAGATGAGCTTGTCTAAAGGAAATCCTCCAGCGACTCCTGTTTTTAAGACAAAGCCCCAACTCCCTAGGCCGGCACTCAGGACCCAGCCCCTGTGTGCTCCATTCCTCACCATTTCTCGAGCCTCAAATGGTCTCTGCCCCTCCTTTGCCTGCACAGTTCTTCAAGTCACGTCCTCTCTCGGAAATCTCCGTTTCTGCCCAGCACCCTGGCAGAGTGCCTTATCGGCTCTTCAGCAGATGGTGGCACTGTGTGGGGGGTGCTCATGGCACCTTATAGTCACCGCTTCCTCCTCAGTTCCTGCAGCAGAGCCTTCATGTTTCAGCCTTTCAGCCTTATTACTCCACAACAGCCTGAAGAATGTAAGCCACGGTGCTGAGTGAAACCTCTCTGAACTGTCCCCCAGAGAAGGGGGCTGGCCCTTTTCTTCTGGCTAGAATAGGGAAGGGATGGCGGGGCTCCTGGCTGCCACCTGGGCCCACGTGATGACCGTGGAAGTGAAAACCACACTAAGCAGCACTACAGGACAGGAGCTGTGGTCTCTGACGTTACCAAAGGTCGGTCCTGCCTCAGCCTGACCGTCTCCGACTCTGAACGTGGGCCCGAGCAATGGTCCTGGTGGTCCAGTGCTTAAGAATCTGCCTTCCAATGCAGGGGACATGGATTCGATCCCTGGTTGGGGAATTAAAATCCCACAGGGCAGCTAAGCAGCAACTAGAGAGAAGCACCCCGCTCAGCCCCCTGCAACTAGAGAGAGACCATGCACCGCAACAAAGAACAACAAAAACCAACAAAACCAACCATGGGTGAGAAAGTAGGACTGTGCTTAAGCCACTGTATTTTGAGAGCTGTTCTGATAACTGACCCTATTGAAACCAGCATTCTCCGTTCTCCCCATCACTGCCTCATGCCTCTGGCATGAACTCGCACCCTGAGTGACCCAGAGGTTCAAAGATAATTCGACTGTCATCCTCACTGAGGGCTCATCTCAATGTGTACAGCGCTATCCTCAAGTGCCCAGAGGACTGACCGCTGAAACCATCCCCTCTAAAAGGTCACAGTGAATAGTATAATGGTAGTGACACTCTCTCTCACATCTGTGTTTCTGGCCCCTGAAATAGAATACGCTGTGTAAAAAAAAACAAAAACAAAAAACCACAGCTTAAGGAAGAAGAGAGTATCTAAAGTAAGTGTTTTCCATCTGAGGAAGTCCCGAGGAGCCTGTCTGGGCCAGTCTATGCCTATCTTCCAGGTGAATGCTGAGAATCCCCTTTTCCCCAAAGCTCAGTGTTTTTTATATGCTTATAGACCCTGTTCTGGGAAGATGGTCCAGGGCTGCCGTCATCCTCAGATGAGAACTCTGACCTCACAAGAGTTCAGAATCACTGCTCTGGAAAATCAACTGTTAAAAAATTTGTCTTTAAAGCTCAAAATTACTTACTTGCTTCCCATTAAAGTAGCTCCTTAACATTTTTTAAAAAACATGAATATCTTTTAGAAATAACAACTTGCTCAACTTTACCTGAGCTGGAGCCTGCTTTTGTCATTTACTTTAAATATAAACCTGGCCCTGGAGATGGATCTATCCTAAAACTGGTGGTCACTGATAACTCTAGTCTGCAGGTGGGTTTCAGCAGCCCTGTTCTACTCGCTGCTCCTCAGCAACATTCAAGCCATTGCCAGGTCAATAACTGATGAATCACTTTCATCTTATTTAAGAAGCAGAGATATAATATGCATTTAATTTCATTCAATAAATCAATTCCACATAACTTACCATCTCTTAGAAAATTTAGGAGAAAGCAAAGATCAGACATGGAATTACATGAATGCATTGTGATGCACTGGAGATTAATGAATGCACCATGGCAATCAGGAGTTGTAATTTAAACGTACCACAAGAAGAAAAGCAAAAGTACTGTAATTTATTGCTGTATCTATGCTTCCCAGTACAACTATAATATTGTAAGTAGCTACAAAGTGCCACCTTCTGGTTTAAAACTGTGCAACATCTCCTTTATTTCTTTTTAAATGCCATTTTTTAGTGGACGTATAAAGCAACAGCAGCAGTTATAAAATGTTGTCTGAGTACTTTTGAGAGCTCAAAACAAGGATCTGTGTATAGGCTGAATAAAAAGATGTTCAATTAATAGTGCACATTGTGTTAACTTTAATAACATCTTCTGTTGGAATTTTTGTGTAAACCTTAATAGAGATGTGACTCACAGAGACCAAAAGTAAAATATCTTTTCGTTTCACGGCTTAGTGAGGTGGTCTGCATTCTTGCAAATGATTTACAAAATACAAGAAATGTTGCGAGTGGGTATTAGGCATAAAATATTACATTTTCTTACAGAAGGAGCAGCAGGAGGACAGGTGAACACCCCGTGAACACCCTGTCACCCCCTTTCCCAAAGAGCTACAGCCCCAAGAATGGCAGTGGAAACCTGGCAGCAAGCCACCCTTACAATTCTTTTTGGTTTTAAAATACAAACACTTCTTGACGTTTCCCTCCCCGGCCCGTGAGCCGCACTCCCACTTGGCAGAATACAAGCCCACATCCTCTTGCTGAGTTTTCCCTTAGAATTATTTACAGGATGCCTACAGAAACGGTACAAACTAGTATGAAATTAAAGAGAGTTTGCATTTCCAGACACGCTCCTGTGGTGAAACAGGCACACCACGCCAATTCTGAAGACCAGTCCAAAGCTAAGGTGACTCAGAGGCAAATGCGTCTGTAACCGTAACCGCTGAGATGGGCTTCTCGCTGGCTGGGGCAGAGTCGCTGACTCTGTCCTCCACAGTGGCCGGGGCCTTGGGAGTGGGGGGTGTCACGTCCACAGTGAGTGCGGAGGCGGCGTCTGCCCGTGCAGTGGTCAGGACGGGGTCGGAGGGTGGGCTGCCGGCGGGTGGGACAGAGGAGAGCAGCTCTGCGGAGCCCGCTGCGGGAGAGACCTCTGGAACCAAAGGGAATGACGGCAGGAACTCGGATGGCATGGGGAGAGGGGCAAGGCCTGGTAAGTTTCGGGGAGGCAGGGAAGGAAGAGGCGGCAAACCTAGGACAAAAAGGCAGAAATGACACATCCTCCCAGCACAGAAGGGCAACAGTCACGGCCACACAATCATGTTCATTTGCATTTCATTAAGGAAATGGAAGCGGAGGAGCAACAACACAAATCACCACCTCTGATTATCCTTGGCTGGAGGCTGGGACAGAGTTAGATATTCACCACAGGACCAGCTGGCCAGAGGAAAGGTCCCCTCGTGTGACTCAGCCCAGCTCAGGGAAGAAATGATTCTCCCAGCCAGGATGGACAGGAGCCCATCTGCCCGCAAAGCAACACACGGGGTGCTGAGCAGAACTCTGCTCTTCAAGCGAACTGTAGGTTGACTCTCAGCTGTACTCTGGACAGACACGAGGAACAAGAGACACAGGGGCCAGGCCTGAAGCCAGAAGTACTCAGCCTTTTTTCAAGCCCTCTGATTGATAACTATTTATAGTATACTTGGCAGAATTTATTGTGAGAATTTTAAAACACAGAATGAAGGGAAAGAGTATTACATCTTCAAGAAACAAAAGGAAGGCAGGTTGTAAAACAGGCTCTGGGCAACCTGTGGCCCAGTCTGTCAACCTGGGGAAAGGGCAAAGCCAAAAGTCTAAGAATACAGGCCCCCCCGCCTCCCCTGCAAAAAAGGACAGAGGGAATGCTGGGACAGTAAATGTTAGCCTGAATTTACTGACTTCATTTGTTTTTTTAACCCATTGGGCCAAAAAGCAAAAAATAGGTTAATGAGGACAGGTAATGAATATACAACAGGGGCTGCTATGATATAAACAGAAACATGACAATGTATACCATGGTGTAATAAGATCATTCACTGACATCACTGATGGGCCAAACTCTCGAGAACTGCAACTAAAAGTCAACCCTGGCGTGTGGCCATCTCAAAGCTAATGAATCTGGGCGATCATTAGCGAGAAGAGAGACTGGGGAGACTCTGCTGCTTCATTTTCATCAATGCGTAAAACCTGGCTGTAAATACTTTGAGTATCTGTGAGCTTAACTATGTGCAGGTAAAACCTCACAGTTTTTATTATGAAAACATTAATAATGAATATTTCTATAAAGCAATTATCCTTCAATTAAGAAAATGAAGAATATTTATCAAGTAGCAAGCGCAGCAAGCCCAGCCAGCCTGAGCCACACAAAACACGGGTACCACTAGTCCCTGGATGGCAGCTGCCCAAAATACACGGAGAATCACAGGGAGTTCATTCACTGCCACTGGGCGAACTGCACACCTCCCATCCCACTCAGCTCAGCGAGGCCACACCACTACTCTTTATTTCTACAACTGGCCTTTACAGAGCTTGGGCTGTCAGGTGCAGGAGGGAGAAGAGGGAGGGACAGGAAGCCAGGCAGAGGAACATCACAAAGACATTTCTCCTCCTCTTCTTTTTCAACCCTTTTAAATAAAAAAGATTAATTTATATCTGAAGCAGCTGCAGTTTGTTAAACGAATCTGCCCTTGCCAGAAAAAGACTGAAATAGAGGACTGCCTTTCCTGGATAAAACTTTTTATTAGACAGAGTCCTATGGCAAGATGGGCAACATACCCGGGTTCACAAGTTCCGGTAAGCTGACAGCTGGCACGACAGGCGGGGCGGGCAGGTTCAGATTGGGGAGGACAGGCAGGCTCGGGAGACCGGCTGGTAAAGGCATCAGACCTGAAGAAAAGGCAGAGAGAAGGTAAAGCGCCAAAGATAAACCCTTGCGGTACTGAAAAAAATACCACCCACTTCCAAGTGAAAATATCAGAAGTCCACTTACCTTGTGGCAGTTTTGTACCACAACTACAGTAACAACGATAACAAAAATCTCTCCCCAATGAAGCATCTTTCTATACCTACGTGATTAGATGGCTAAGTGAGTAAAGGTTAAAACAAACCTCTGAACCCAAGGGCAAGAATGATGCCGGCCTAAGTGTCTTAGAGAAGAAGCTGATTTATCTCAGCAAATATGGGACTGATTTTCTTTGATGGTTGAGGTTTACACTCTCTCAGCCATTTTTTTTTCCTTTTCCCTTTTTAGTTACAGACTCACAGTTGCTAATAAAGAATCCCCATGTATGTCTTTCACTCAAATTTCTCAATTATTAACATTTTATCACACTTGCTTTATCATTCTGTGTGCGCTCACATTTGGTTAATGTCTTAGTATGTCTGTGTAACAACATCTTTAGCCATACAATTAAAGGCTCTCACAACACCAACTATTACTTGATCACTGAAATAATATCTGATCCCTACCTGATAGATAAAAGGACTGGGTCTTCACTAGGAACAATAAGCAAAATAAACAAAAATCTCACCTAACATTAGTTACTGAGGACCCAAGCAAGGAGTGCTCGTCTCTAGGATACAATGTCGTATTCATCAAGCACTGACCAGAATGCCCTAAGTAAGGAAGTGCTGACGAATGGAACATCTACACACTCCTTATTCCAGCCTCAGGCTGCTTGGGGGCAGAGAAGATGGTGGGCTAGGTTTAAGGAGCCCAGGGCTCAGCAGCTGACAAGCTGGTGGCTGCAGCTCATTGCCAGTTGCTCTCACTTATCATGAAGTCACAGCAGAGATAAAATGAGAATAAAACATGTAAAAAGTCACCACATAGGGATAAATTTTTTTCATTGTTTCTAAGATGTAAAATACCAGTAAAGCTATTATTATTACATATACGTCTCCTGTGGCTTACCTGGTAACGTAGTAGTTGGGTTTATCGGCGGCACAGATGTGAGGGACTGGTTTACTTGTGGTGGCAATAATGGTACTGTTGGTACACCTAAAATAAAAGCACAGGTCCTTTGAAACATTTCAGGTAATAAAGAATGAGCAGACCATCTTGGACAGCCTTCAGTGTCAGCCTCCCGCCACGGTCAGGTCTTCCCTCAGTGAGACTTCAGTCAGCTGGTCTGTAGCTGTGTCACTCCACAGCTCACCCACCTGCTCTGCCCTCTGCCCTTCACAAGGGCTGTTGGTAGAGCATGGGCCAAGGGGGCGGGGACTCTGTAAGCCCACCCCAGCTAAGTAACACCAGGCAGGAGTTTCACCCCTGAGAAGGGCTGGGTTGGAAAACTGTTTTGGAATTTTGGAAATGAGATACAAGGATTCCAGTCAATCTTTATTGGGCTCCTGATCTAAAAGGTCATGTAACCCTGGGGCTGCTGGGGGCTATGTGCTCCGTGAAGCAGTGAATGCTAGTCTGTGAAAGAGAATGATGAAGACGGCCTGAAAGAGACAACAGCATATGGACCTCCAGAGATGGGGAGAATGACCTTCCTGAATCACCATTTCCCTATGACCTTGGTTCTGTGACATGCCTTTGAAGTCTAGTACATTTCCATTTTTACTGATGTTAGCTTGAGGAGTTTATGTTCTTTACATTCAAGTAGCTCTTAGGATACCACCTAATAAAGGTTATCTATTAACGCCTACCAGCTACTCAAGTGGGAAGTTTCACTGATATGCAAACAACAGTAATACTGCACATGGATTTTGATTTTGTCTTACAGAGATCTGCTTAAAGCCAGAATGAACTGTGCCTAAAAGTATGAAGCAACTATTTTCAGATAGTTTTATAAATTTATTTAGTCACGTATTTACTTTTCTGCAGAAACTGAAGGCATGAAAAATCAGAAGAGAGTTCTTTGTTTTATTTGATACTCAAAGGTGTTGGATGGTTGGTTGGTATGTTTAGTCTTTCAAGTTTGGGGGCAGGGTGGGCACCTGCTATATGTCAAGACATTGTTCCAGGCACTGAGGAACTTAGAGAATAAAGAAAATAAAAATCACTACTCTCAGGAAATTTGCATTCTGATGAGGTGCAGAAAAAGAAAGGGAGACAGGAAGAGTTAGGGGGTCATATCGATTAATGCCATTTCAAAATGATATATTCATTTTCTGAAAATACAAATTTTTCAAATCCACAGTGAAGTTTTTGTTTTTTGTTTAAAAACACATACTTTTGTTTCTAGTTACTGTTTGGGCTACTTTCCAGCAATATAGTTAAAGCAAAGATTGAAAAATAAATACCTAACAAAAAGTGATTTCTCATGTCATAATGCTAAATTTACTTACTCAAAGTGAAAATGCTGATTTCTTTCAATCTCCTTTAGGAATTTCTGATTTATTGATACCTCTTTTACTATTCAACAAACCCATTTCTCTACTGTGTAATAAGACCAGGGATCTCAGTGCATGTGCTTATAAGACAACCCAAGTATAACTGTCATGTATGAGGGAAGATTTAAAATAGAAACTGGAACTTGAAGAGACATCAGCTATCTCCTAAAGCCAGAAGAGCTCTCATATGCACTGGAACTCTCACTGTAAAGCCAGGTGAGAGTCATCAGACACAGACTGGGTTGTTGCCTTGAGAAGTCTATTCAAAGAATAAACTAAAGGACCATTTCTTATATATGATGGGATATAAGTTAAAAAAACTCAATCTCACGAAAAGGACTCAAACACTACTTGATGAAATAAACTTTAAAATCTCTTCCAAATGTATCTATGACTTGATACAGGTGACGTTAATATTTAATTTCATTTAGGAAATATTCTAAAACTAGACTGTGGTGACGACTGCACAACTCCATAAATTTACTAAAAATCACTGAATTCTATACTTTCAGTAAGTAAATTTTATGGTATACAAATTATAGCTTGATAAAGCTGGGAAAAAACCCAGCGAAGACTAGGGGGTAGGGATGAATGTCATCATACTGATAACTGGTGAAGCTGGATGGTGGGGGTCTGTTGTACTACTCTTTACACAAATGAGTATCTGTATTTAGACCATACTGTTGACCTTAACTGCATCTTGATGGGTTGTTTTAAGTCCATTCCAGAACAACGTGGAATATGAGCAGATCTGGAGTACAAATATTAAAAAAAAGAGCTCAAGAATAAAAGGATACTAATAAAACAAAATGAAACCATGGCAGTATTTTATACACTTATTCAACACTGATTGAGTATATAATATACTCTCGGTATGATGAAGATATTTAAAAAAAGGAAAGGGAAAAATAAACTATGTCAACATACCACGTTAAGAACTGTATCATGTGACCAAGCAATTCTAATTTCTGGGTATATAATCAAGAAAAACGAAAACATATGTCTATGCAAAAACTTGTACATAAACGTTCATAGCTGCATTATTCAATAATAGCCAAAAAGTAGAAACCACCCAAATGTCCATCAACAAAATGTGGCATACCCATGTAATGGAACATTATTTAAACATAAAAAGATAAAGTATTAACATATGCTATGACATCAGTGAACTTGGAAAAAAAACACTATTCAAGGTAAAAGAAGCCACAGAGAAAGGTCACAGACAACCACACATATTTTATGAAATATTTAGACTAGAAAGAGAAAGTAGATTAGTAATTGCCTAGGCCTTGGGGGACCGGGGGAAAAGAATGACTGGATGCAGGGTTTCTTTTGGGGTAATGAAATGTTCTAAACTGAGGTGATGGTTGCAAAACTCTGCAAATATACTCAAAACCCCACTTAATTGTACACTTTGAACTGGGTAAACTATATGCTACGTGAATTACATCTCAATAAAGTTGAAAAAAACCTGAACACGCAAAAATGGAGTATAGTAGGTAGAACAAGGAGTACAGAAAAAGAGACAGGCACATGTCCCCTGAGCAAGACTGAGCCCCTAAGAAAGGAATGGTAAACTGCTCAATTTGTATCCCCAGGATACACTACCTAGGGGATATGCAAACATCTGTTGAGTAAATAGAGCAATTAAGCACAATTTAAAGGTAGAACACAGAGAAGTCCAAAGTCTAAAACTGGCTGAGAAGAGGCTTAAAAGCATGTGATATTTTAGTACCTACCAGCTTTCACAGACAGGGCCTGTCAATGCAGAGCACATTTATAGTTTTCAAAGTACACCGGAATTAACTTTTAAAATTCTAAAGCTTGGGACAAAAAAGAATATCATGTAAAACAAAGCAGACTGAAAACAGAAATCTATTTTCTGCATACCTGTACTGAGAACATTACTGACAGCTGGTGGAGTTGAACTAATAGAAAGTCCAGACAGACTCTGTTCAATTTCTGTAGTTCCTGGTGGTGACAAAGACGGGGGATTAACTGAGGACAGCTGGACCTTCCAAAAAACAGAAAGAAAAAAAGGAAAATTACTCAAGCTTACTTAAAATATACATATTGGCTCTCACTGGTCCTACAGATACTTTTTCGATCATGTACAAACTGTCAAAAAGTTTTCGCCTGGCACTTTGGCTTTCAGATACTCCTTCGTAATTTTGATAGGTGCCACGGATGTCACGCTGCAGACATCTCCCCATCCTGTCACTTCTGGTCTCTTACCACATGGCATGCAGCCCGTCACACACACTGTTCTAGCCACTTCGACACCAGGAGATTCTTTCTTCTCCTTCCTAGCCAGCCAAAAATGATTATACGCAACCGTTAAAACACCACTTCATTCCTCTTCTTCGATTTCTCAGCCAGACTTTTGTTTTTAATTTTTATTGTTCATGGAAGAAGTCAGCTGAAGTCTTAATACCATGAAAGATTCCTTAGAAATTTCTTATGATGTCTAACGTCATGAGTCCCCCTTATCTTTTCTCATCAGTGAATGAATGTGGGAACTACATCTCTACCTTCGGGAGCATGGGGTAGGGGTGTGAATGAATCTGTATGGACTCTACAAATGGGTGGATGGGTGCTTTTCAGATTTCACCCCTGAATCCTCCATCTTCCTCCAGCTCCAGTGTCCGCTGTTACTTTTCAACATGACCTGTATTATGGCCCTTCTCCCCAGCTGCCATTTCCCCATCTGGTTTTCTCAGACTGCCCACAGAGCCTTACAGGTGCAGAGAGCACTGACTGGGCCAGCATATAGGATAACAGGAGTCTGAATATATAACGACACTGGCTCTGGCCATGAGTCAATGATGGGTGGGGTGAGGAGAGGTTACACATTCCCACAGCTCTTCTTCACTTCCTCTAGAATTAGGGATTGCCAAACCATAAACCATAAAATGGCAGCAGCCCTTTCTTTACAACTGCAGCATTTTCTTTCTGTTTGGTTTTTATTTACTCGTGCAGGCAAGAGTTAACTGTCCTATAAGGCCTGCACAGGAAACATTTTAAAAGCCCCTAAGCCTGTGCAAATACCTCTCAGTACTCCTTAAATAGCCTCACATTGATCATGTAATTGTTCCTACACCCCTAACTCTCCTCGCTTTCTCAATCAAGTTTCTTGAAATCTTAAGTACCATCTGTCATCATCTTATCCCGCACCAGTCACCCTCTCTCTCCAATAAGTTGGTATCTGCATCCCTGCTCCAGCCCAGGACATGTTTTTTCACTCCTCCTCTCACCTGGCTTCTCTGCAGTTCCTCACATAGTTGCCTGTGCCCGCTTTCCTGACGCTCTCCTTTCTCCCTTTGGGCTTCTCCTGACCATCCTCTGCTAAATCTCCTGTCTCTGCCTGTCCATTTAAATACTATGAATGGTCAAGATTCCAGCCTTGTTCCTCTAACCCACCCAAGCCCAACCCATTTTTCTTTTTCCCTTAAATCAATGTCCATTGGGTAAATTACCCTCTCTATGTTGATGATTCCCAAATCTGTATCTCTAGCCCTGCCCTCTTTTTTGAAATCTAGAACCAAAGGATACCCATCTAGGTATCCTACAAGAACTTCAAATCCTATTCATCAGTATTTAACTCATCTGCCCAGTTTCAGTAAGTGCTATCACCACACACATCAACTAATCTGGGTGGAAAGTTATGACATAAACAGGCAGTAAAGTTACCTTACCTCCGTAAACCCATCTTTAAGAGGAGTAATCGGTGTACCAGTCATCTGTCCTGGAAGAGAAATTTTCTTTCCTTCTTCAAATGGGCGTGTAGGTATTCGATGCAAATAACCATATCCAATGCCACATCCTAGGCTGAGAATATAATTTTTTCTTAAAGTTACTGTTGCCAATCACAGCTTATGTTTCTTTGAGGTTTTGAAACAGAACAACACATCTCCATTTTTTTAAATGCTGTCTCTTATCAGAGATCTCATCTGACCACTCTTTATGAAAAGCACGCTTCCCTCTACCACAGACACTAACTTTACTCTCCTTTATTTCCCTTGAAGTATTTATCTCCATCAAGCACACTGTATATTTATTTTCTGTCTCCCCCAATAAGATGTTAAGGGGGCAGAGACCTTGTTATGTTTACTGCCTTAACGGTTCCTGGAACATGGTAGACACTTAATGATTATTTGCTGAATGAATGATATATAGTCTTTCTACTCAAGAGTTCCAAGCACTTTTGCATGCTAATGATATTCACACAACCCATAGGTCTACTTCAGAACCAACACATATCAATTCAAATTAATCCTGATTTCTCCTAATTCATCATCCTAATGCCGCCAGTGACATTTTTCTAACTAGATACAATCATGATGCTTCTTTCCAGTCTGCTGACCTCCCACTTTCCTGTTCCCCTTTTCCCTTTAGAGGACTACTCCTCAGGCACTGTGTGCAATGCTGGTGGGACTGTCGTCAACCAGGGGGCCCGTCATGCCCCAAATCAGGCGTGTCTCATGACCAGAGCCAGGCCAATCTACCCATCTTGCTCAGGACTACGGATGAAACTGCCAATTAGTTCTTCCTTTCTAAGTCCCTATTTAAGACTTTTCACAACCAGGTTTCAACTTATGTTTCCATCATAATTGCTTATACTTTCCAAAGTACTTGTGCCTTCTGAGTAGGACATGCACAGATACCTCTGTGCCTATCCCGTTAAGGCATCTATTATTTCCATGGCTACTACCACCACTACCAAAAGCTGAGAGAGAAAGCAGCTTCTTATTTGAATCTGATTCCATAACAGTGCTTCACATTACAAAATTACTTGTTCCCTCACTTTTCCTCCCTTATACCATCAAGCTGCAATTTTTACTCAACTGGATCTCAGATAGATTTAGAAGAAAGAGAGATGAAATATACTGATCAATGAAAGCCTTTCAGAGGCAGCTGCATTTAAAAACATTCAAAATGCATTTAAAATTTACTTATTAGTCAAAAGAACTAAGTGGTGGTAGAGAAGGCACTTGAGGCAAGAGAGAGGCCCTCCAAAAATTTAAAGACAGCCCAAGAATGAAGCTAAGAAAAATTTTCTGCTGTAGTGAATGCAATATGGTCAGCCTCTGAGGAAGGAATGAAAACCAGAGGCACACATATACCAAATGGGGGCAGACTCAAGAAGGTGGTATGTATGGGCCTGTCTAAAGCAACAGCTGATCAACAGCACAAAACCATGTCAAAAGGAAAAATGTCTTCCACAGAAAAAGAGAAACTGCTAGCCTAGAAAAGAAGGGTGCCAAGAACAAGCATGTAACAGTATTTAGTCAGCATAATTAAAAAGAAACAAACTAGTAATGTTCTTTGTTGTTGAACTTCATCTGGAATTTCCTCCTTAGACCATGATTTCATGCACACCGAGCAAGGAGGAGGTAGTAATGGGATCTAAGAATTCTTCTAACTGGAGAGGAGGCATTTTTCTATTGTAAGCTGAAAATCCATAACTCTAATGAATACAGAAGTTTATTTGCAAATTTAGTTTATATGAGACAGTCCCTCTAGAATGAAATCAATTTTGAATACCTTGAGAAGATCACCTTTCTGACAAACCTGGACACTGAAAAACCATAACTTGATCAAGTACGGCTGCCAGACAGGCCAGATTCTCTGTCCCATTTTCTTAAATTACTGTAAGTCAGCATTCTGGTGGCAGCATACATCCAGCTGGAGAATCTCGGGTTGTGTGGGTTAGGGTATTGTGGGCAAACAGAGGCCTTCTCTGTTTGCATCAACTAAGGTCATCCTTTACCTGGCAAGTACTAGAACTTCTAAAAACATTGGAAGAAGTTTCCCAAATCCAAGCCTTTCTTATAAATCGAGCTTATGCTCAACAACTCCTCAAATTTAAAAAGGTTCTTAGAACTTTCGAAATAATGAAAAATTTATACAATTTAAACAATAAAAGACCTACAGATATAATATTAAGTAGGAATGCTGTGCTTTGACTTTTTGAAATTAGGAAACTGATATGAAGAAAACACCCAGAAAACTGATTTTATAAAGTTTGCTTTTCTGTTTGGCTTGACCCTCTTTCTAAACTCCTTTTTATTGTTGCAATTTTGCCTAACTTTTGGTCAAAATTGTTCTGTTCATTTCTGAAAGCCAACAGTTTCCTCCAAGTGCTAAGGAATTTCCCCAGCAACTAGAGAAAGTTACACTGTATTGTCCCACTGCTGAGGACAGAATTGGGAAAATAAAACTGAAAACTATTTTACTAAATAACAAAACAAAAAAGTTTGTGCTTAGATGAGTTAAAAAAAAAAAAGGACTAGAGTTTGTGTACCATGTTCACTAAATTGTGCTTTAAAAAAATGAATTATTGGATTCAACATTCTAGGTTGGCTCTTTGCTTTTCTCGAAAAGTTTTACTATAAACCAATAACTTGTTTCAAAATAAAAACAATGCTTACAACAGATCTGACTAGTAAATTTAAGCAGTTGTAACAGTGTAAAAAAAGCAACCTTACCTGCCTTCTCCACCCCATGCAGAATTTGGTGTAATAATCACTTCTCGACAGTTATCAGTGTCTGTATTATACACATAAAGTTTCAATGGTTTTGCTTCATGTGTTTCAATAAGGCTGAATAGATCTTCAGACTGCAAAAGCATTACAGGAGAAAAATGTTTTTATGTTACTGAACTTTTGAATAGTAAATCTCAAACAGTAGATATCAAACCTAGTTAATATCTAAAACAAACAAACAAAAAACACACCTAAAAGAACAACAACAAAACACACACAAAGACCAAATCCTGGGCCATGCCCCTAGGCATAAAAAGCATTTCTTAAATCAGTATTATTAAAACCTACCTATACAACAAGGTATTGTATACTTATACAGCAAGGCCTCATGTTCAATTCTGTAAGATCTAGTCAGCAATTGAGTTAACAGTTTTCTATACCCAAATTCAACAAATTCTGCTTTCTTCCTATTATTAAGAGCTGGTTATCTGGGCACCTTTTTTTCCTGTCATTTGTAATTGAGTAATGCATATTTCTACTAGCTAACAAACAAGGAAAAGGATCCAACTAAAATAGGTAAGCCAATTTTGCTACCTTAGAAAAAGAGAAAATGAAATCAATAATCAAAATGATGATTTGATTTAATCTTGAGGTACAAAAGACATCTTCCATATTTTTGCTTATCACCCTGGAGCATAAGCTATCTTGATTAGCAAAGACCTAAATTTCAACTCTGAATGTAAAGTATGCAAATATACTCGAATTTAAACATTAGTGATAAAATGTTAAATTATTTTTAGTATTAATAAACAAATTACCTCATTCATGACTGTATCTGCTCCAATGATATAATCACTGTGAGGTCTAAGACCAGCCAGTGCTGCAGGAGAATTTGATTCCACTTCCTAGGATGATACAATCAAACTGTTGTTATTGTTTAGTCACTAGGTCCTGTCTGACTCTTTTTTGACCCTTTGGACTGTAGCTGGACAGGCTCCTTTGTCCATGAGATTTGCTAGGCATAGATATTGGAGTGGGTTGCCATTTCCTCTTCCAAGGGATTTCCCTAACCCAGGGACTGAACCCATGTCTCTGGCATTGGCAGGAGGGTTCTTTATTGCTGAGCTACCAGTGGAGCATCCCCATTAAATTACTGTATATAAAATAATCTTCCAAACTGTATAGTTCAGTCATTATAGTAATTCAAACTCTCTTATATTTGTCTTGTTAGAGACCATGTCGGATAAAGCAGATAACTACATCACAGGTACTTAAGAGAAGACACCTATTATTAGGAAATACACAGTGAAGTACCTAGATGTAAAAAATCATCATGTATACAACTTATTCTCAATTCATTAAAATATATATATATACACATACAAAAAAAAAAAGAGACCATGTCAGATCAGAAGCTATAAGATACACCTATTTAAATCTCCCAAACATAAAAAAAACCCAACAATATTTTTATAAATATTTAAAATATTTCTGCAGCTATTTGTTTTAATTTAACTTCTTCTAATGGATAAATCATTAGAAAAAATGTTTAGGCATCACATTTGCTTTTCCTCCTCAAGCTGTTTTTCTTTTCTATTAATATATATTTTAAAAGCAATTTTGATTTTCAGAAACTTAAAGTAGCCTAATAATAGTAATAGCCCTACAGTCTCCCAAATTGGAAACCACCACTATTAAAACACCTTTCTACACTGTTTCTTAAACTGCAAGTAACAGTTCACAGTTGATACCTACCAACACATGCCAAACGTTTTCATTTGCCCCATCAAAGCTGCAGAAACGAATGCTGACTCCCAACAAGCCCTGTCCACCCCACATGTTACTTGGTGTAACTGAGGTCTCTCGCAGCTCCAGTGTTTTACTACTGTAGATAAGCATCTTCACAGGTTTTTCAACATTTGCTTTCAGTAGATCCTTAAGAGTATCATTGTCTTTATTCTGTAAACATAGAAATTTTTCTTAATAAATAAAATAAAAATCTAATGTTAATTAGCTTAAGCATCCTATGACCCTATTGGAGTAATATTAATAACTCACATAAATAAAACATTCAATAAGCGGAGGTTTCATTAACACTCAACATTCCTCAAAGTAAAAGAATGTCAAGAAACTAGGAAGTGATCAGTGTAACCGAGTAGGGTCCTATAGGGCCTTCTGGGGACAGGCCTTCCCCCGTATCCTCTGCTGCAGCTCCTCTCTCAAGTACCCAGATTACAGTATCTCACGCGTATTTCCTAAGTTTTTCAGACGCCAAAAACTACCACCAAAAGTAAGAAATAACCACTTGAAGATTATAAGCAGGTAGCCACAGACCTTCTGATGCCTAAGGACTGATCACCACCAACCAATCAGGGAACTGTGCATGAGCTGACCACATACCCTGGGATACCCCTCCCTCACCTTGACTTCAAAAATGCTTTGCTGAAACCCTTCAGGGAGTCTGCGTTTTTCTGAACATGAACCACCACTTTTCCTTGCTTGTCCTGGAATAAACCTTTCTCTGCTATAAACTCTAACATTTCGGTATTGTTTGGCCTCACTGTGCGCCAGGCACACAAACTTGTGTTCAGTAACATTAGCAACAGCTTCTGACTTTTTTCTAATAGCCAGCTATGGAATCATGGAATTTGCAACCCACCATTATTTGAAATGATCCAGGGCTTCAATGATAAAAAACTCTAATTATTCCACAAGAAGATATACTACTAACAGAGTTGGCGTGGCTGATTTTAAAATCTAAAACACTGCTGGAGTTAAAGTTTAATTTTGGACTTTACTCCTCACATATACACTTAGTACAAACTGGTAGGAAATAGTATGTTAAGTATTTCATTATGTAAATGAATAAAGGCCAGTATGTAAGACATGTCAGTAAGTAATGAACAAAAACTTAGACTGTTGTGAAAAAATAAACCAACCAAATAGCCATTGTCATAAGAATTTACTGAAATTATAATTCAGTTTCCTTCCTATTGGACTTTACTACATGTAAACCAGAAGCAACTTTTGAAAAGTGGTTTTAATTCTGCACTTTTGGAACACATCTCTTCTAGTTTTATAACACTATTTCTGTATCAGGGAACTGAGTGACAAGAAAATTGACAAGTTATTTGAGAATAAGTCATTACTAAATCATTTGTCAATAACCTATAAGTCTGACATTTTTTGAAAAAGCAACAAAATCACATCTTTCTGCTTAAAAAATAAATAAATATTTAATATGCAAAGTAGAAGTCTCCAGTGTCTTTCTTCCTCCCCCTAACCACTGGAGTGTGAGGTGTAGTATTCTATCAATATATTTGACATTCTCATGTTTACTAACACATGGTTATTTTATTGGTATCATACTCTATGTAATGTTTGTAACTAATGAATAAATAAATATCCATCTCAGATAATCTGAAAAACTCTATTTTCAAAAGATGACAAAATATCATAGGTGAAACTACAAAAAGCTGAACTTACTAATCTTGAACCATTAATAGAAACAATAAAATCAAAGAATGGCTCCAGTCCAGCTCTATGTCCTGGGGAATTTTCTTGTACCTGTGAAAACAAAAATGAAAAATGCAAAGCTTAATTGTGAATTAAAAGTTAAATTTTAATATCTACCACTTCAGTAAAAACAGATTAATCTCATTTATGAGAAAACATAGGTAGTCACTAGTTTTCTCATTTCTCTTATCTTCCAGATAATGCCCCTGTAGCTCCCTAAATTTTACGCATTCTTTAAATTCATCTCATATATGAGGTTTTCCCTCTGGTTCTATTTCACACTACTTTCCACTTTTTAGGGGGTGGGAGGAAACAATCCTCCCAGCATTTAGCACATGACATAGCAGACAGTTAATCATTACAACTAAGTGGCAAATTAAAATTAATTTATTCTATTTATCCCATGACTACTACTAGCAAGGTACCATTTGGTTACAAATCTAATGTAGGAACACAGCTGCTGTTATCAAAACATTATAATCTGCTGAGTAACAGGCAAGAAGGGCAGACGGAGGACATACAGACCTCTAATAACTGTAATACAAAAGCAAACAGGTTGAGAGTTACAGGCACAAAGCTTTAAGGGTGAGATTAAATCTGAGTGAAGAAGTTTCCTAGAAAAATAAAATGAATTGTGCTTTAAAAGGAGGGTAGAACTAACGAAGGCTAAGGGGGATGAGAAAAAACATCTGAAAGTTGAAAGAATAATATGAGTAAAAACCCAGAAGTATGAAAAACGAGGATAATGTCCCTAACTAGAGACAGCAAGATGGTAGAGAACAGAAAGAGTGCAACATTTTGTATGAATCAGCAATTTTCAGGCTTTCATCAGATTCTTAAAGGGTGTCTCCATGACCCAAATAAAGTGTTAAAATAACGGATTTTTGCAATTCTTTTATTTTACAGGTGAAGAAACCATTTTATAACTTGCCTATGATCTCAAAGTGGGGAAATGGTAGGGATGAAACTCAAAAGTATATCTTATTAACCATTAGTCCAGTGAGAAGGATGGAAAGGAAGAATGCAGCTAGACTTACAGAGGGTTTTATTTGGAAGATTAAGATTCACCTAGCTTCTCAACAACTCAAATGTTTAGCATCTCAAATTTCAAATGCATTAAAATAAACTATTAAACTTCCTATATTTGCAATAAACAAATATCAGTAGCTAGTAATGGCAGTGAAATAACAAAAGAGCAAGAAGTTAATAGAAACAATTTTTCTATTATCCTCTAAGTATTTTCATAGAGGATAAATAAAATATCCTCTAAAATATTTTCATGTTTTAAGGAATTTTTACTCTGCTTGATGTTACTAAATACTGTCAAAATTATCCCATGAAAAGAGTTTGCACTATATTTGTAGGTTGATCCTCTGTAATAGTCCAAACAGTTTTAATAATCAATTCTGAGGCTAATGCAAATAAAAGATCCACATCCATCCACATACAAATCTGCAGCTATTCACACAGTAACAAATCATTTGAATACTTTCAAAACAGAACCCAAGTTGTTCCCAGAATACGTCCTTCTAGTATCAGACTTCGCAAATGAGACTTAATCTTGAACTGATGATACATTCATTATTTTTGGATTAATGCTACCTTTTATTCATTTAAAGCCAAATTATACTATTATTGCCTCCAAAGAAGTAAAAACTAGATTTTCTTCATTTGTCACAGTAAGGAATAGTTTTTTATAAAAATGGCTCAATGTTTAACTTACTAAAACTGATTTTGCTTTATGTAAAATTTCCTGCAAATGTGGGACTAAAACCATTTTTGTAAATTAAACAAGTTAAATATCAAAGGGACTTATTGTTTAAAAGTGTTGGTTCTAATAATCAGTACATACCTGCTTATTTTCTTTATACTCTTTTCTTACATGGGGCTTATTTTATACTCTATATATTATCAAGCAAAATGTCTAGAACCCAAAATGGTACACAGATTTCTCCTTAAATGGCAACTCAAAAAGGAAAAGGGTGGCTGCCTAGAGCTACAATAAGAACAGAGAAGTTGAGTCATAGCTAGCTGGCAAAAGGTCAGGATCCTCTAGGTGTAAAATGCCTGTCTGTTAGGTTCCTATCAATTAGGTGTGAAATGCCTGAGGTGTGAAAAGAAGATAGCTACTGCAGACCTTAGAAGCCCCCTTGGAGAGGAATTTCTCATTTAACAGGATCCACAACTAATCAAATAATTCTCTGATTCAGAATGTTCCCAAATTACCACTTTCTTTTTTTTTTTTAAGAAACCAAATAGTCAATTGATCAATATCAGACTTCTCCGCTGAGGCTGCCAACAGTTTACCTTTACGAATACCTTTGTAATGTCATCAGCCTAGCAAGGTGATCCCACACACTGATTCTTATCATGCCACCCTCCAAGTATCAAGTTTTACCACTATCTGTTTGAAATGGAAAGTCTCTAATACCATTAGGATTATTCTTCCCCAGAACTCAAAAGATTCAATAGCTAAATTCTGATTCTAATATAAATAAACCAAGATAATCCTTTCTCTATTTTTCATTCTCATCTGCGACAAACATCAATCTGTTTCTAATGGACCTTGAAATTAATTTCTTTCCTAAATTTATTTACATTGTTAGTACCAGTACAACTCTGGCAAAGAGGTATCTTACTTAACTATGGCTCGGAAGCCAGCAGAGGGGGCACTAGAGAATGCGCTCTTTGACCCTAATTCTTTAAAACAGAACTTCTTACATTTTACAGCATGGAAAATAAACTCCACAACAACGCAAATTAAACATCCACACAGGCAAGTTTCTCTGGCAATATTATCCACTGATGAGAATCTCTCAGGCATCTAATATCTCAAGCATCAGAATATCACTCCACTACCTTGTCCCGTATGAGAGATCTCTTGACTGTTGATTCATCACCAGCTTCCTGAACCATCTTAATTAAAATAGAAAAAAAGAAAAGAAAAAATACATATACCTGGCCTCATGGGCTATTTATTATTGGGTCAAATATCATGGAAGTTCAAGATGGATAAATTAAATTTGAAAGTTTAATAATTAAGATTTTACATGATTTTGAAAAAATGTACAATGAAAAGATGAAAGAGTTTAGAGCAAAACCTTCTTGATTTTGAGTCATGGTTTGCCTACTTATTAGTTTTTTCAGCTGTGAAAAGTTTATCTTCCTGGGTCTCAATTTTCTCATTTGCAAGGAAGAGATAACACCATCTACTTTAGAAGACTACCATAGAGATTGAATGAGTTTAACCTCATGAAATGCCTGGTGAAGTCTCTGACATATGATATGAGTCATACAAACCTTAAGTTCAACTTCCTAATTCCACAAACCACCACCTGAGGAATTATAAGCTATTAATTCCTGGACACTGCATTATTTTTCTGGCTATGTATTAATTCTCTCTCACTCCATAAAAAAAAGGAGGGAAAGACACAGAGCATTAGTTAGCTAAGAAGAGGAGACAAATCACTTTTTTAATGTTGTCTCTCAAAAATCAATTCTGTATGGATAGCAAATCTAAACATAAAAGGTAAAACAAAGAAGCTTTTAGAGAAAAACAAGAGAACATCTTTTGGATCATCAAGTATGATGACTTCTTAAACCAAACACAAAAGGCTAACCATAATTTTTTTTTTAACTTGATAAACTTTACTGAAACTATGAACTTCTGCTCATCAAAGACACAATTAAGAGAGTGAAAAGATAGGCTATGTATTCAACAAAGGAACTGCATTTAGAACGAATCCTAAACTACTGAAAATCAAAAAGGAGAAGTAAAACCACAATAAGACACCACATCACATTCACAAAAACTGCTGAAGTAAAAAGACAATAACAAGGATTGGTAAGGATGTAGAGAAACTAGAATCCTCATACACTGATGGTGGAAATCTAAAATGGTGCAGCCTCTGTGGAAAACAGTTTTGCAGATCCTCAAAATGTTAAATACAGAGTTATTGCATGACCTAGCAATTTCATTTCTAGGTATATAACCAGGAGAAATAAACATGTCTATGTAAAAACCTGCACACAAATTTCATAGCTGTGCTATTCATAACAGCCAGAAAGTGATAATAAGCCAAATGTCCTTCAACCAATAAATGAATAAACTAAAGGTGGTACACATAGAATGGAATATTATTTGGCAATAAAAAGAAATTAAGTATTAACACATGCTAAGACATGAGTGAACCTTGAAAACACTGCTAAGTGAAAGAAGCTAGTCACAAAGACCATATAATATGTAATCCCATTTATAAGAAATGTCCAGAATAGGCAAATCCACAGAAAGTAGATTACTAGTGACCAGGGGATGGGAGCAGGGGGAACAGAAAGCAGTTGCTAAGGGGTATAGAGTTTCTTTCTGGGGGTGATAAAAAGGTCCTGAATGAAGATACTAATGATGGTTACACAACTCTGTGAATACACTAAACAACCACTGTACTGTAAAGTTTAAAACATGATTTTTAAAGTTTTAATTTTAAAGTTTAAAATATGATTTCATGTAAATTATAATCTCAATAAATCTGTTTAAAAAAGATAGACAACTTAAAGAAATGGAAAAAAGGTTTTAGCAGATACTAAACAAAAGAACAACGCACTGGTTCAAAATTGGGAAAGGAGTACATCAAGGTTGTATATTGTCACCCTGCTTATTTAACTTAACATGCAAAGTACATCATGCAAAATGCCAGGCCAGATTAATCACAAGCTGGAATCAAGACAGCCAGGAGAAATAACAACTTCAGATATGCAGATGATACCACTTTAAAGGCAGAGAGTGTAGAGGGAACTTTCACCTTTATGAAGATGAAAGAGGAGAGTGAAAAAGCTGGTTTAAAACTCAACATTCAAAAAACGAAGATCATGGCATCTGGTCCGATCACCTCATGGCAATCAGGTGGGGAGAATGTGGAAACAGTGTCAAATTTCATTTTCTTGGGCTCCAAAATCACTGCAGATGGTGACTGCAGCCATGAAATTAAAATATGCTTACTCCCAGGAAGAAAAGTTATGACCAACCTAGACAGCATATTAAAATGCAGAGACAT